GGGGATGGGTACAAGGTGCGAGTTGGAGGAGGTGAGAAATATGGCGAGGAAAATTAAAAAAGAATTTTGCTTATAGAGTCTATTTTGTTGTTTTTTTTTCTGTTGCGCTGGTATGATTTAAATTTGCCTTAATCGAACTGGGTTGTTGATGATTTTCAGAAAAAAAGTTTGCGACTTCTTTTGGTGGCCTTTGAAGTTTGGATTTTGTTTGATCATATGTTTCTTGGGGAGCCTCAAGTTGATTCTTTGTCTCCTTTTTTCTGTTTATTTCTTTTGGTTTTTAGTAANGCAACTTCATTTTGCAGTATTCTTTGAAGTGAAAAGGCCATTATTATTTTTTTCCTTTTCTGGTTTTGTTGATGGAGGTGGGTGGTATTGATTGATTATTGAAAGGTGGTATTAGTGATATAGTTCTTTTTTTTTTCTTTTTTAATTTTTGGCTAGGTTACTAGTTAACTTGCTTGTTTAGGATTTGTATATCAGTAAACAATGTAGAGTAGTAACACGAAAAAAAGGGTCCAACTCGAGTGGAATTGATATTGAGGATTCATATAGCTGATCTCGACTAGTTTGGAATTGAGATTTGTAGTTCTTGTTGACGCACTAGTTACTTTTCTTAACATGAGTTCATCATTTTGTGTCTAAAATAAACACGCCCTTGAGTTATGAAGATCTTAAATTTTAAAGAAAATAAGTGTTCATGGTATCAAAGTTTGTCCGTAGAAGTTAATTTATGTTAAATTGATTGGGACCAATGGAGTAAAGCGTGTGAAATTCTTTAATTAATAAGCATGTGATTTTTATAATTTTTCATCAGTTTCAGTCATACTCCAATTTCACTGATATAAGCTTTGTCTTTTCTGGCCACAGATATACGGTGTTCAAGGTTGAGAACTGTCATTTTAGAATTCGTTTTTTGACTATGGGTTGAAACCGTTTTGTTAATCTTAAAGTTTTTAATTCAATTTATGGAAAAAAATGGACATGCGCCGTACATTATGTATTCAAAGATCTAGTGAAGCACAACACAGCAACATGGGTGTCTCTGGAGCTATGTCAACATCTTTATCCATTTTGCCGTCATTGGAAGAGAAGTATCTGAAATTGCCAGATTCTCTGTATGTGTTCACAGAAAAGGAGCGAACCGCAAACCTCATTTCCTCACAGGCAATCCCATCAGCATCTAGGAGTGGAACAGTAGGGCATCTATTATCTTCCTCTTCTGGACCACAGAAAGATTTTCACTTTTCTCCTACCTCTTCTCAAGAAAATAGGCAACATAACTATGCATTTATTTCAAGTGAAGCTTCTGCAGCGACCTGCCAATCTTCACTCTTATGTATGCATTCGACATCATTGGATAATTACCCTATTGGGAACAGCAGTAATTCCTGGGGCAAAGATGCATATCATGACTTCACCAATTTTCCTACGAATGTTCCTGTTCAGAATGGCCGAGTGGAAAACCTTCCAGTTGTCATGGCATCTGATGACCATGCTAAGAGATCTGATTGGCAGGAGTGGGCTGATCAGCTAATTAATGATGATGATGTTTTGCATTCGAGCTGGAGCAATATTCTTGTTGATGTCAATCCTCCAGATTCAGAACCTAAGGTTTGTTCTCTAACCTTTAGTGCTAATGTTCCATATCTGACGTGCTTTTATGCTGACTAGAGGTTATGGTCTTCAATGTATGTTCCTTTGCGGAAAATTATTGCATCTTTTTTTAATAATATTATGTTACATGCTTTCAGATGTTGGACTTATTCTCGGGAAACGCTAATTCAGCTTATTCTTGGAATAACAGCAGTCAATGTAGATTTAGTTCAGTTCTTGTTCCATCTTAACATTTTTTGTCATAACCTGTCCTTACTCCCCTTTCTTTGTGCTTTCTGTTCCATTTCATTACTTTGTTCCTCTGTTATGTCGAGCTGTGTAGGAGATGCTTGTTGACACCCGCTTTTAGCAAGGTAACATTGCCAAAAGCAAAAGGGGTTAGGTTCCCAAGCTTAACCTTTCGGATGCATATTCTTGTACATTGGGGTGTCATTCTGCCTATTCCTCTCTTTGTGCTCTATGTACATGAAATAAAATTCATAATCGTTGTTACACAAACAGATTTAAATTTAAGTTAGATTGAGTATATATACACTTACGACTTTCAGAGTGAAAAAGATGTGTATTTCACTTCTTTGAGCTGTCTCGGTAGTGTTCCCTTTGGCCACTCTATTAGTGGGACTAGTTTAGAAACCATTCATAGGTTTAGTCCTTTATTTCCAATTAACTCTTATTATTAGCATGATATTATGTATGTCCTTGTTTCCTTTCTGCTTTTATTTGACTTTGATTTCTAATTTTCGTAGCTGCTTGGAGCATCTGAAGTCCTTGCTTGTCGGCCCCAACCTACTCCTATTGCACCTTGCGAGCAAAGTTTCCCAGTTGGTAGCCCGTCATCTTCCACAGCGTTGACGAAATCTCGTATGCGTTGGACACCTGAGCTTCATGAAGTCTTTGTAGAAGCTGTCAGTAAGCTTGGCGGTAGCGAAAGTGCGTGACCTCTTTGTTTCTAAGTTTCTTTCTTCTTTTTGTTAGTGGTTAACAAAAGTAAGAGTTCAGGTTAACATTATTATATCTGATAAATGACTTGATTTTACAGAAGCTACACCAAAGGGTGTCTTGAAGCTCATGAATGTTGAAGGCCTAACCATCTATCATGTCAAAAGCCACTTGCAGGTATAGTAATCCTCCTCATTAACCTCTTTTGTACTGCATGTGAGGGGTGATAATTTATTTACAATATGTATTTCGTTTTGAATTTCAGAAATATAGAACTGCCAGATACAAACCAGAACCATCGGAAGGTAGAAATTACTCTCTGATTTCTTGATAAACTTTTACATCCATCGACGTGCTCGTGTCGTGTAACATTCATGTATTTGTTTGAGCACTGAAATTCATTTCCTACTTCAGCTATTGGCTCATGTCTTTCTGTAAAATACATCTCGTAGTTAGATCTCTCACGCTTGTGTTTCCTGCCTCTCTAGTTTCTCTTGAACATGTCAAGACAATGCCTGATTGTGAATAAAATTTGGAGAAACTAAGTTAACTTTGCTGTTGTTCTGATGGATATTGTCATAGTTTCTGAGAGATGAAAAAATTGAAAATGGATTGTAATCTGCTCATTGCAGGAACACCGGAAAAGAAGCCCACCAGTGTGACAGAGATGCCATCTTTGGACCTGAAAGCGTAAGTCTTTGCCCTCGCACTATGCGTATCTATAGTTATGCAGCCATCAAACTTCTCGGATATCTGTCACATAAGCAAAACGTCGTCCATGTCTTTCCATTAGGAAGCATCCAATAAAAGGAGCAAAAACTGTAGCACAGGGAGTTATTCTGATAGCAGTTAAATTCTAATTTAATTCTGGTCGCCAATTGTTAAAACTCTATCTGGATTTTGGTTATAGGACTATGGGGATAACAGAGGCACTAAGAATGCAGATGGAAGTCCAAAAGCAGCTTCATGAACAACTTGAGGTATGTAAATGATCAAAGGCTCCAGCATTACTCATCTGTCTATTCTTGCACCTAATGTCATTTGCCAAATCATAAGTTAAAGTTTCTGGATAATTGAGAATATAATTACATTATACATGGGATTTTTTTTTTTTG